GAGAATTGGATGAGTAGTTCAATGTTTTTGAGACACAAGCATTTTAGTATAAAAAAGTTAACTGGGAATTCCCTGGGGGTCCAGTGGCTAGGACTCAGCACTTTCACTGCCATGTCCCGAGTTCAGTCCACGGTTGGGGAAATAAGATCCTGCAAGCTTAGTGGGGCAGCCAAAAATAATAACAATTTAGGTCTCTGTTTCACATCACATGATAAAATATATTTTGATAGGTCATGAAACAAGAGAAGAAAATGGGCCAGCATAAAGAGATATGCACTGGAGAGAATAATACTCTTCTGAGTCCTGGGGGAAAAAAAGGTGATATCAGAAAATAGGAAAATGTCTACACAATTTTTTTGTTTTATTAATTTTCAAGAGACTTTATAAAACAGTCAGCCCTCTGTATCCCTGGGTTCCACGTTCACAGATTCAACCAATCACAGACCAAAAGTATTTGAAAAAAAAAAAATCCAGAAAGTTCCAGAGAGCAAAACTTGAATTTGCCATTCAGTAGTAGCTATTTATATAGTATTTACATTATAGTGACATTTACAACTATTTGTATTTACATTGTATTAGGCATTATAGTTAAAACTGCTGCTGCTGCTGCTAAATCGCTTCAGTCGTGTCCGACTCTGTGCGACCCCATAGACGGCAGCCCATCAGGCTCCCGCGTCCCTGGGATTCTCCAGGCAAGAACACTAGAGTGGGTTGCTATTTCCTTCTCCAATGCATGAAAGTGAAAAGTGAAAGTGAAGTTGCTCAGTTGTGTCCGACTCTTAGCGACCCAATGGACTGCAGCCTACCAGGCTCCTCTGTCCATGGAATTTTCCAGACAAGAGTACTGGAGTGGGTTGACATTGCCTTCTCCGATAGGTAAACTAAAGATGATTTAAAGTATTCAGGAGGATGTGTGTAGGTTACAGGAAAAAACTACACCACTTTCTACATGGGACTTAAGTATCTGCAAATTTTGGTATCCAGGGAGATCTTGGAACCAATCGCCCCTCGATACTGAGGGACACCTATACAATATGAAAGTAACCATACAGGGAAGACATCTGACAAAAATAACATGGGAGGGGCAATCTAAGTATTGTAATTATCACATAGAAAACCACATAGCTTTACCAGCAACTAAATAGAAGTAATTATAAAAATTTCCAGAAAGATACAAAAGAAATTGTTGATAGTGGCTGCTTTCAAAAGAAGTGGAGGAATGAAGAAAATAAGCTAAAAGAAATTATATGTAAGATGTTGAATTCTGTGGAATATGCGTTCTAGCAAAACAGCACCAAAACAACCTGTCAAGATAAAGCTGAGTTTATTCTTATCACAGTGGGATAGTGCTACCTTAACATATGGTGGCCTTTTTACTAGGAAATTACTTAAATTCATAATACCAAATCCTTTCTTATAATTTATGGTTGGACTCCTGCTATTATTATTACAGACAGTTTTGTGAACTGAGAACATGAAAATGGCCAGCTTAGTGAAAATTTGCTGGATAGTATCTTTAAGTGTACTGTCAAGACTTAAAAATGCATTTCTCTGTATGTTCATGTTTGTTCACACACATATGGAGAAATCTGGGGAGTGCTTTCGCTAGCACTTAGCTTTTTCACCTGATATTTGGGGACATATTTGAGAGAGATTACCAAGTATTATTTGCAAAAGGAGTTTGAAGAGGTCCATATTTTATTTAAAGGAAAAAAATCTGAACTTTCAATCATATAATTTCAACTTTAAATTCTTTTACTATGGGAGTTGAATCCGTAGAGCAACAAGTACAGTGCTAGGCATATGGATATGAGCCACATAAATAAAATTGCTATTTTCACAATCTTTACTTTCGACTTGGGGTTCATCTTTGACCTATAAAGGGAAGGACCATCTTTTTGGCATCTTGTGAGCAGACAGCTGTGAATGAGTTGAAAAAACAGGATGACTTATTTATGGGTGTCCTATTTTCAAACACATGAACTGTAATTGACTTCTGAGCAATTTCTAAGTATAAAGTGCATTCTCTAAGATACGTGTCTGAACTTCATTGAACTCTGACTGGCTTAAGCTATAAGGAGGTTGAGAGGGCTTTGAACTTAGTCAAGCCAGTGAGTTACCAGTAAGACTTTTTCTAAATATATTTCCTTTGCAATTGTCAGACTGTAGAGATTTGGAAAGTTATTAATTCTGCCAAAGAAGGTTGCTATGAAACCTTCGCAACAAAGGCTGGAGGGGAAACTCACTCTCCAATTTTTTCCTTCTTACCACCTTTACCCTTTTTTCCCACCCCCACCTCTAGCAACCACCAATCTGTTCTGAGTTCCCTTTATCATTTTAGATTCCACATATAAGTGAAATGATACAGCATTTGTCTTTCTGTGTCTGATTTATTTCACTTAGCACAACTCCCTCAAGGTCCATCCATTCATGTTGTTGCAAATGGCAGGATTTCTTTCCATCTCTTTTGACTGAATAATAGTTCATTGTGTATATATGTATATGTGTGTATCTTACAACTTATTATTCTTTAAAATTTTTTATTGGAATATAGTCAATTTACAAAGGTGTGTTAGTCTCAGGTGTACAGCATCTTATAGTTTCTTTATCCATTCATTCACTGATGGACACTTGTTTCCATGTATTGGCTATTGTAAATACTGCAATGAATATGGCTATCTTTTTTGACAGCAGCTTCATTTCCTTCAGATAAATACCCAGAAGTGGAACTGCTGGCTCACGTTAATTCTGCACCTCTATGCTGTTTTCCATAGTGACTGCACCAGTTAACATTCCCACCAATAGTGCACAAGGGTTTACTTTTATCCACATCCCTACCAACAATTATTTGTCATTTTGGTAATAGTCACTCTAACAAGTATGAGGTGATATGTCACTGTGGTTTTGACTTGCATTTCGCTGATGACCAGTGATGTTGAGCATCTTTTCAGGTAACTGTTGATCATTTCTTTGTCTTCTTTGGAAAAAATGTCTATTTGGATCAATTCTTCTGCCCATTTTAAATCAATTTTTTTTCCCCTATGGAGTTGTATGGGCTCTTTACATATTTTGGATTTTAACCCTCATCAGATATGACTTGCTAATATTTCCTTCCGTTCTATAGGTTGCCTTTTCATTTCACTGATATATTTCTTTGCTGTACAGAGATTTTAGTTTGATGTAATCCCACTTGTAGTCCCATTTTTGCTTTTGGTCAAATCTAAAAAAATCATTGCCAAAACTATATTCTCCAATTATATTATGCTTAGTGTCCTCGGTCATGGGCTCAGTTTGTGACCCTATGGACTATGGCTTGCCAGGATCCTCTGTTATTGTATTTTTCTAGGCAAGAGTACTGGAGTGGGTTTCCATTTCCTTCTCCAGGGGATCTTCCCAACCCAGGGATCAAACCTGAGTCTCTCAAGTCTCCTGCATTGGCACATGGATTCTTTACCACTGCATTACCTGGAAGCCCAATTACATTAGAATCCTCATTACCACCCATTACCACTCATTACACCCAATTTAAAGTGGCTTGAATGAAAATATTGGTTCACATAACCGAAAGCCCAGAGATAATGCAGTTCTCAGGACTGATTTATTCCAGTGGTTGTGCTCCCTTTCCCTCACATTCTTTTGACTTTGCTCTCTTCTGGCAAAAGTTTCATTCTCAAACAGGTCATAGGACAGCTGCAACTGTTTCAAGACTCATATTCACACATAACAAATAGCAAAAGAGTAATTTTCAGCAAGTATCCTAGAAATAGAAGCTACTAGCAAACGTCTCCTGGCACCTGAGTGGCCCATATTTCTGAATCAATTCCTGACAAGGAAAATAAGGTCACCCTTATAGATTACTCAGACCCATCCCTGAAGTTGTGGGTGAAGTTGGCCTTTCCTCAATCACATGGGACACAGAGTGATTGCTACAACAAAATCACAATTGGGAGAAAAAATGAGAGGTAAAGTTTGGGTAAGAAACTGATTCTGTCTACTAGGAATCAATTCTTAGCTTTATTCCAATCCAGATTAAAGATAACATAGGAAACTATTTAGTGCCTCTACTATTTAGTGCCTTATTATAAAAAGGATTTTAAGTGACTTTTAAAAATATATAAAATATAGCAAGATAAAATGAGTAAAGAGAAAGGATAGAAAAAGTTAAAACAAGGGACAAGCCCACTACACAAAATTTATTCAGTATGATCCTTTTACTTGTGGGATACATATTTGACTCAGTTTGTCAGTTTAAAGAGGAAAACTGAATCAGGAACTCTATCAGTCAAGCCTCTTTTGCTTGCAAGTGTCAAAGATCCAAATCAAACAGGCATAAATACAAAAAGGAAATTTATTGGCTTATTTAACAGAACAGTCTGTGAATGGAACTACCTTTAGGTACAGATTAGGTCCACAGACTCAAACAAGGTTATCTGGACATTTACTTTTCTGTTGGTTTCATTTTTAAGTAGCCTCTGTTCACCTGCTGGCAAAGATGGCCTCAAAAACTGTGCTTACATAGGTCTTACAGCTAGTGCCTCTAGTGAAAAGAGAGCGTCTCTTTCTGAGAGCTCCAGAAAAAAGTCCTTGGTTGGATTCTGTTTGGCCCTCTTTGTGGTTAGTCCCAACTCTGGACTAAACAATGTGGACAAAGGAATGAGGCATTCTAACTGGTTAGCCTGGGTCCATGTACCCTCCCTCTCCCATAAGCCCCCAAATCATTATCTTTCAGTGGCAGCTTCAGTAAGGAAAAGGGTTAAGCGTAGAAAATATCTTGATAACAACATCATTCCATATACATAAGATATAAACAAACCAACTGTTCAGAAGCCCAGCTACTCCCCAGACTAATACTTAAGAAATCATGTCTCGACTGTGGGACACGGTGTGGGCCACGCGGGGTGGGACGGAAGCCTCGCTGGGTCAGACCGTGGCGACGCGGGAAGTCCGGACGCCGTAGCGGCCTGAAGAGGAGGTCGCAGGCACGGTCCCCGGCCGCGACCATGGCGGAGAGGCCCGAGGACCTAAACCTGCCCAATGCTGTCACCACCAGAATCATCAAGGAGGCGCTCCCGGACGGTGTCAACATCTCCAAGGAGGCCCGGAGCGCCATCTCCCGCGCCGCCAGCGTCTTCGTGCTGTACGCCACATCCTGTGCCAACAACTTTGCGATGAAAGGGAAACGCAAGACACTGAATGCCAGCGATGTGCTGTCCGCCATGGAGGAGATGGAGTTTCAGCGGTTCGTTACCCCGTTAAAAGAAGCTCTGGAAGCTTATAGGAGGGAGCAGAAAGGCAAGAAGGAAGCTTCAGAGCAAAAGAAGAAAGACAGAGACAAAAAAACAGATTCGGAAGAGCAGGACAAGAGCAGGAATGAGGACAACGATGAAGATGAGGAAAGGCTGGAGGAAGAAGAACAGAATGAAGAGGAGGAAGTGGACAACTGAAGAGGATGGGGAGATGCCCCTTGGAAGGAACCACGCGAAAAGCTGGTACACGTTTGTGTGAAGCTTTTTCCGGCTGGGCAGAGTAGTCTTAGGCAGAAGAGCCTGAGAAGATTGAAATAAAAACTGAATTATCATCAGGATTATCATCAAAGTCAGTGCTTCCCAGACTCAGAGCATCTGAGTAGCAGAATCCTGTTTTGCTTAATCAGTCTCAAGGTTATAACTTTTTGGCAAGAGGGATTCTGAATGGCAAATTTAATTGGTCAGTTTGATCTCTTTTGTTTACATACACATATAGTTAGGCAATTGTTGGTCCCCAGTTCCCTCCCTGCCCCCCAGAAAAGTAATAGTAACTTCCATGCTGCCAACTGTGTCCCAGATCACAGAGGCAGTTCAGGCTCAGGAAAAATTAGGGTTTGATCAGAGTCACCCTATTTGATTATACAGTATTTGGCAATTCTAGCTTATTTCAAGTGATCAGAATGGCTTAGCTTTAGGAAACTACTAACAGGGTTGAAGAGAACAATGAAATCTGCTGTCTCTTCACTTGACAGTAACATTAATTGAATTTTGTTTTCTACAGACCCACTTGGCTTAGAGCCCTTCTGTAATGTCTGTAACCAGGCCTGTAACCTTCTATATTGCGTGTAACCTGCTTGGAAGGCTACCTTCTAGGCACATACTGTTTTTAAATCCACAGAGTAGAATTAGATAAGCAAGGTTGCCAATGTCTTACTCTTATAAAACAGTAAGATGGTTTAGTCTTAAATGCACCTCACTGCCTGCCACTGTACAGCTTCAGGATTTGTCATCACTTCCTGGAAGGTATAAAATTCCAGGTTTTCATGTCCAGTAGTCCATCTTCCAGATTTGTGACTATGACTTTTCATTTTTCCAATTCACGACAAGTTCCGAACTTTATTTTCTTCTAGGCACAACTTTCTCCCTCTGTGCTTCTCACCACCTGTCTCTGTCCTGCCTCTCCTCTGCTCCCCATTCCCACTTTCTCCGTCCCTCTTTTTTTTACTTCTGCCAACCTAGGGACTTGGATGACCTGCAATATCCCAGAGTATGGGTTCCTCTGATTCTCTAGTTCTAATCTCATGTCTTAAAACTGATTTTGTAAACCTTTTTGACCCATGAGGGAAATCTGATGGTGCTCAGGAATTTAATTCCGCCCCTAACCCATCCCCTTTAACTGCTTCTAAGTATCTCTGTTGACCTTTCCAGGTTTTCTTCTCTTTCCATTTGGTGCTCCAAGCACTTTTTTGTTGGTCTCTTTAAGTTGAGTGCTTGGAGGTTGAAAGGTAGTGAAGTGTAGTTTGACACTGTTGATTTATTAAATGAATACAGTGGAAAGTATGTTGATAATTGAGTGAAGAATATTGAGAAAATTATAATGCTTTGTATAATAAAAAACATTATTGTTAAAAAAAAAAAAAGAAATCATGTCTCCTCTAGGACCTCAATAACACACTGATAGGGATATTTTATTATACAAGTGTCTTCTATTACATCTCCATTACAAACCAGTGGCATAATGCCAATGTGGTTTGATTTTTTTTTTTTAATTCTATGAGAGACTAGAGCAATGCAATTCAAACATACAGCTCTTTGTGACTTTTTTCCAAGGATAAAATTTAGCATCTAAACAGGACAAGATGGAATGAATATTCTTCACGTGTCTTAGTCACAACCCTTAGTTGCAGGGAATAAACCAGTGTAGCCATCTTACTGAGAGATATAAACTAAATGCAAAACAAACAAGAAACGGTATTTTGTTTCCACCATTGTCTTAAACTATCACACCTCTTTTCTTGCCCTTGACATCTTGGGCAGCTCCTATAGCTTTTCAGTCTCTTTCAAGTTTAAAAGGCCCAAGCTAATTTAATCTAATTTAAAACTCTCTCACATTCACTTTTTAAAAACAGCTTTATAAAGATATAAATTATATATAATTCAGTGTTTAAATGTACAATTCAGTGGTTTTTAGCATATTCAGAGTTGTGCGACCATCACTACAATCAATTGTAGAACATTTTCACCACCCACAAAAGAAACTCACACTTGGTTTAAAGCCCCTCTCCTTTTTTGGCTCAGGGACCAGCTATTGCTGGAGAGAGAAATGTCACTCCTTTTATCATTTTCCTTTGTTATTCAATTTCTCCCCTACAAAGTCCAGAATTGGGGCAGGGAAGGTGAGGACTGGGGGAAAGAAGCAAAGGTAGTTTTACTGAGGTGGTAGGATGACCAAACTTTTCTAGTTTGCCAGAGACTGATGAAGTTTTTTAGGATACAGGACTTTTATGGGCAAACTCAGAAAAGTTCCAAGCAAACTGGAATAGTTAGTCACCGTATTGATCTGGTGCTGTTTGCATTAATAATTCACTCATTTGATCAATAGCTAATCATCATACTTTGTCAAAGCCACTTTCCAGGTGTTCAACTCTTGGCTCTTCTTTGGGCAACTGCCAAACTGCAATTTCCTAACACAGCGTATGCACACTGGCTGACCTCTTCCCCTTTCAAATCCTGTCTTCCGTTGCTGGTAATGTTAATTTTGATTGGGTTAAAATGGCAACAACCAGAAAGCTTCACCATTATAATGTCAAATTTCTACTTTCATGACTAGCGAATGATCCACAGGGTGATATTTCAACATCATTTAGATATTCGGCCCCCAACCAACCTTTTACCTAATGGTTTCAGCATTAACAGTCTTTGGCTGATTTATTTCATTAGGGGTTGCAAAATGATTTATCCTCTGATTCACAAAGATGAGTCACGTTACTAGGAATATTCATGTACAAATATCCGTGTGGACATGTTTTCAATTCTCTTGGAGATATATATATAAACCTAAGAATGGAATTGCTGGGCCAGAGCAACTCTATGTTTAACACTTGAGAAATTCCCAGACTATTTTACAAAGCAGCTCCACCATTTTACAATCCTGCCACTGTGTGATTGATCACTGTGTGATCAAAGTGTGATTGATACAATCACACATTGTATCCATTATTGTAGCTTTGCATTAAGTTTTGAAATCTGGCATTGAAGGTTGTACTTGCACCACATCATTGCCAACACTTGATATGGTCAGTCTTTTGGGGGATACAGTCATTCCAGTAGGTGTGAAGTGGCAGCTCAGTGGGGTTTTGATTTGTATTTCCCTAATGATAAATGATTTTTGAGCATTTTTCATGTGCTTGTTGGTCAATTGTCCACCTTATTTGGAGAAATGTCTACTCAAATCCTCATCCATTTTAAAACTGGGTTGTCTTTTGTTTAATATACATTCCTGATACAAGCCCCTAATCAAACACACGATTTGCAAATATTTTCTCCATTCAATAGGTTGTCTTTTCACTTTTTTGATGTTACCCTTTGAAGCATTATTTTTTCTTTAGTGACTTGTGCTTTTCCTGTTGTACCAATGCTTTGCCTAGCCCAAGTTCACAAAGATTTACTGTTGTTTTAAGAATTTCGTTTTAGCTCTTTTATTCATGTATATGAGGTATCTGCATTAACTTTTGTAAATGATGTAAGGTCTAACTTCACTCTTTTACAAGTATATATCCAGTTATCCAGCGTCTTTGGTAAAAAGACTTCTTCCCCAGGGAATTATCTTGCCACCCTTGTCAAGAACAAATTGCCTATAGTAAAAGGGTTTATTTCTGGACTCTCAATTCTATTGCATTGCGCTATATATCTATCTTTATGCCAGTCACACATTGTATCAATTATTGTAGCTTTGCATTAAGTTTTGAAATCTGGAAGTATAAGTCCTCCAAATTTGTTCCTTTTTAAGATTGTTTGGCTATTTTGGGTTCCTTGCATTTCCAGATGAATTTTAAGATCAGCTTGTTAATTTCTGCCCAAAAGGCAGCTGGGATGTCAATAGTGTTTGTCTTGAATCTGTAGACCCATGAAGAATATTGCTAACAATATTAAATCTTCCAATCTATGAACATGGGATGTCTTTCCATCTATTTCCTTATTCTCAGGTCTGCATACATTCCCTTAAATAATGCTTTGTAGCTTTCAACACACAATCTTGTACTTCTTCAGTTAAATTTATTCCTAAGCATTTTATAATTTTGATGCTATCATAAATGGAATTTCATTTTAGAATTGTTGTTAGTGTAACAATTGACTTTGTATATTGCTCAACTTTAAAAAAATTTTTGTGTGGATTCTCTAGAATTTTCTGTATACAAGATCATGTCACCTGTAAATGTTGTTCAGTTGCTAAATCATGCCTGGACACTGCAATCCCATGGACTGCAGCACACATGGACTGCAGCACACCAGGCTTCCTTGTCCTTCACTGTCTCCCAGAGTTTGCTCAAATTCATGTCCATTGAGTCAGTGATGTTATCTAACCATCTCATCCTCTGTTTCTCCCTTCTCCTCTTGCCCTCATCTTTTCCAGCATTAGGGACTTTTCCAATGAGTCAGCTCTTTGCATCAGGTGGCCAAAGTATTGGAGTTTCAGCTTCAGCATCAGTCCTTCCAATGAATATTCAGGATTGATTTACTTTAGGATTGACTGGTTTGATCTCCTTGCTGTCCAAGGACTCTTTCAAAAGTCTTCTTCAGCACCACAATTTGAAAGCATCAATTCTTTGGTGCTCAGCTTTCTTGATGGTCCAACTCTCACATTCATACACGACTACTGGAAAAACCACAGTTTGACTATATGGACCTTTGTTGGCAAAATGATATCTCTCCTTTCTAATATGCTGTCTAGGTTTGTCACGGCTTTTCTTCCAAGGAGCAAGAGTTTTAATTTCGTGGCTGGAGCCACCATCTGCAGTGATTCTGGAGCCCAATAAAATAAAATGTCACAGTTTCCACTTTTGCCCTGTCTATTAGCCATGAAATGATGGGACTGGATGCCATGATCTTAGTTTTTTGAATGTTGAGTTTTAAGCTCATTTTTTCACTCTCCTCTTTCACTCTCATCAAGAGGCTCTCATCAAGTTCCTCTTTGCTTT